ATCGAACCTTAGGTTCTTCAGTGCGTGCCATCTAAAGATGAGGGGGAGAATTTTAATTCGGTTCTACAGATCCGAAATAAATAAAAAAATTCAGAAATAAAAAATCGAAAATAATAACAAATTTCGGAACACTAATGACGAAATTATTAATTTTATTCGGCACTCTAAAACCGAAATACATTAAAAAATATCAGTTTTTAAGGAACGAACCATTCATATTATTTCGGTATTTGATTTCCAAATTAATTCAACAAATTCGGCACTGCCTTTCTGACTAAAAAACGCATAAAAAAATAAAAAAATACTACACGATTTTACCTTTTCATCACTGATTTTGCTGTCACCATTGCTTGAGTTTGAACTTCCATAAGTTTGCAACTCTTCCATATCAAAATCAAGTAAAAATTATTGAACTAATAATTAAATGATGTTAATAATCGAGTATAAACTTAAAGATTAAAGCAATATGAAAGATGTTTTGTTTGCAAATAACAAAGAGGAGTACAGAGTGTGCAAGAAGTAAAGTGACTACAAAAGAAAAATTAAGGTTTAATTTTTTTGTTCCAAAAAGTGTATATTGAGATATTTTTATTTTTAAAAGATGTGTATAGAGAATTTATATATATAATATTAGGAGTGTTGATCAATGGCTATTATAGTAATTTTTAATTAGGATATACTTGTCATTAAGTTAATTTTTCATTAAGTGTGTACCCTGAGGTTCTCAATCCGCACATCAAATATTTCAATCATACCCTAACTTATATTTTTGTACACACATCACCTAAACTCTCATTCCACATTTATTTTCAAAATTCCGTACCCATTTTCCACACACCCATTTTCGGTTCCACCCATATTGAAAACACAGCGAAGTCCCTCTATCCACAACCCCATTGAAACCCTCCATTGAAGTCCTACAACATCTCTTATTTTCTATAAACCCTCTTTTTTCTCTTAGAAGATTGTTGATTTTGCACATTTGGCACTGATTTTTTGAATATAAAAATATTATTTGACTTTTGGCTTCCGAACAAATTTTCGAAACTTGATTTCCGAATTTAATTGTTTCATTCGAAACTTGAGTTCCGAATATTATAAAAAAATTCGATTCTGTAGTAGCGAATTTTACAACTACGATTTGTTTACACAAATCTATCTTTAACACTGATCAATCGGCTTGCAGAGGATGAGGTGTGGCTTTGGGGTTTACAAAGAAAAAGCATAATTGTTATATATGCACTCTTTTGTTTTGCAAGAAAGGCTGCAAATGCAACTATGGCACCTAACAAAAGTAAGCATTTTGGAGTCTGTGATCCATGCTTCAACCACCTAAAAATGATTCCATGCTTGAGAGGACTTTCAAAGTTTGAAAGCTGTAGTCCATTGAACCATATAGTGTGCAGCAAACAATGGATAATAGAGTATGAGAAACAACGGAGAAATTAGGGTTTCATTATTTTTAAATCAAGAGATGTGTATTGAGAATTTTTTTTTAAGAGATGTATATAGGAAAAATAAACTTTGATTTAACATTAATTGTGTATTTTGATGTCTATTATCGTCATTTTGTTTCAGGTTCATTTGTCATTAAAATTATATTACATTAAGTGTGTACATAGAGATAAACAAGTGTGTGGAAATAGAATTACTTGAAAAAATGTAACCCTTTTTTTAAGACTACTAAATGCCCCTACCTTTCTACTTTAAATCCCCCACTTCTTTGGCTCCCCACCACCAAAATTGCTTCCCTTTTTATTTGGGTGATTCTACTTACACCCCTACTTTACCTTTTTACACCCTCTATATGAGTTTTTTTCCCGCCCCCTAATTTTATTCATGGGTGAAATTACCTTTGAGGACAAAATAATAAAATTAAAATATTTTTTTTTTATCTCCTTACACCACTTGGTCTTCAATCCTTACTCATCTTTTTCCTTTCTTAATTTTTCTTTTCTCTTACACATCTCTTTTCAAAAAGTAAGAATCATAATATTTTGATCATTAAAGAAAGCAATGGATGAAGAAATGGTGATGAAAAACCATCAAAAAAGTGAAATGGTGATTTTTTTAATTTATTTGGTAAGTTTTTGTTTCGTTTTTTTAGACTGATGTTCGACTTTCATTCGGTGGTTCGAAATCGAACAAAATAAAATAGTCTGATATTACATTGCCGAACAAAAACTATAAGTATGGTAATTAACTACCGAATAAAAGATATATTTCCGGTAACCCCAAACCTTTTAATTTGTTCGACTTCTCATTATCATGTATTTTCAATTTCATTTTTTTATATTTTTTATTTTTTTGCCTGGAATAATTATATTTATACTCATTGCAACAACGCAAGTACTGTAATATTAGTCATGAATTCATTATAGACAAGGTTTGTTGAGTTTTTTTTTATGAATACGATTTTTTTTTATTTTTAATTTGTATTGAGTTTTATTAATAATTTAACGCATAAATGTATTTATTATCTTTAGATTTTTCGTAGTCGTGAAACATTAATTAAATAGGTTTCTGACGTTGAGAAGAAGACTAGATTTGTCATTGTTATAAAGACATCAAATGTGAGAGGCAATCGCAGAAAACCAAAACTTACACTTGTTCGTAAAAGAAGTGGTTGCTATAGAGACAATAGGAAGATCAAAGGGGAACGATTAAGGTTAGTAGGTTCTAAAAAGTGTGGATGTCTATCTCTATTAAGGAGGAAAAAATTACCTACAAATTACAAAGACAAATTGTGATAACATGTTTGATTGATGGATGCAAACAATGACAGATTTTATGGATACTTTATGAATATTCGTACACTTGATGTTTTTATAAATAATTTTATGACTACTTTTTATGTATGATTTTATGGATGCGTGTTTGATTTATGAATTTTTTTTATGGATGTTTCAAGGAAAAAGTAAATCTTTCAATATACAGCGACGGGAGCCTAGACAACTCTATTGTAGTTTGGCAACATGACATTAGAGTAATCTCATTTGTATAACAATGTATCACTGAACATGCACTTTACAAATGGCCCAAATTAATTTCTTGTTTTCATCTAATTAGACAACAATATACTGCTGAGAAAAAAAATATTGTCCGGTAACATGGCACTGGAGTAATTCAAATTAATTAGTATTGTATTACCGAACAGGCCCACTACAAATTAAAAAATCATTGTTTGGAAGAAAGTATCTATGTAAATATATAGTAACGAAATGTTGGAGAAATTTATTTTTTCTGGCAGCATAACACCGGAATAATGTAAATTATTTAGCACCGTATTACCAAAATTAGTGGTGTAAAAAGATAAAATAGCTAATTTAGAGTTAGTTTTGGTAATATATTAGGGATATAATGACAATTACATTTTTTTTAGTAGTGTAATGACATAAAGGGTCTAAAGAGGTTAAATAGTAGTGCAAGTAGAATCACCCCTTTATTTTTCTTTGAACCCTTACCATAATTCCAAATATATCCTTTGAACCTTATCCCTACACCTTTCATCTACAGCTCGTCATTCCCTTTTCAGAGGGACGGCAATTTTCCTTTCCCTCTAATGACCCTCCCCTAATGCCCCTCCCTCGCCGACGACCCTTTACCTCTGGCGACCCCCCCCCAATGCCTTTCCCTTGTCGACGACCTCCTATTCCTCCTTCTAATCTTCACCCTCGCACTTCTGAGACCTCTCTCACATTCCAGTAGGCACCTCAACCCCTCTTTTTTCCTTCGCGACCACTTTCGTCACCTTTTAGAAAACTAGTTTCGAACAAAAGCCTAATGTTCCGTAGTATGTAGTTGAACAAAAGGCATATGTTCAGTTGTGGAGCACCAAACATATTTAACAAGTTCGGCTCTATGTAATTGAATGCTAAGAAATCGACCAAACTGCAAGGTAGAAAGAGAAATTGACGGGGGGAGAGAGAGAGAGAGCAGAGCACGAAAAAGAGAAAAGAAAGTAGGTTCCAAAAGATGAAGATGAAGATTGGGAAAGAGAGTCAATCTGTGTCAATCTTGTGTCAATTCTCGCCAAAAGTGTAGGACTTCTCCAGCAATGAGTTCTGGCAGGTGCCATTCACAACGTTATTGTTGCGGCTAGCAACATATGAAGTAGAGATAAACCAAAGGTCATTGGGGAGCAAAAGATGTAAGGGTTGGTTTGGGATGTCCTTAAAAAGTGCACTTTTTGACTTATTGGTGGGTTTGGGTTGGGTTTGGGTTGGATTGGATGTGATGTGTTAGAGAGGTGATGTGATTTAAATAAGATGATATGACTTAAATAAGATAGTGACTTTTTGACTTTTTGATTTATTTAGTACATGTCAAACTAGCCCTAAATGTTTGTATGTTTATGTATGTAATGGTCAAGTTTGTCATGGATTCCAGCGATGTAGTAGTAAACAAATCAGGATCCACTAGACCAAGAATTTTATAATTCAAAAACACTAGACCATAACCAGAGGCTTTCAGCGCAAGTGGAAGTGGTGGTGGGTTGGTCACCAAAAGATGTTGGCAGGAGTGGAAATTGTGGTGGGATTAGGGTGGCTTAGATTTGAGAGGATAGGGATGGAGAAAAAAAAAAAGAATTTGATGTTAGGACAAAATTGTAATAAAAAAAATTGAGAGTCCAAAGTAAAAAGATAGAGATATTTAGCTATCCTTTTTTTTATGTACCCGGGCCAAAGTGCTGGACACCCTTATGATTTTAAAAAAAAAAAAAAAGGGGGGGCAATAGAGACAAAATTTAAGGTTGAAGCAGGAAATAAATAAATAAATAAAAACATATTTTATTGCTTCTACTGAATTGAAGGACACATTTCTCAGTCGCCAATAATGGTAGTCAAGGAAAGGAAAATAGATCATATTAAAAAAACAAGAATGATTCATCCCACTAAAAACATTACCACTAATAGCACTAATGCATTAAAAAAGGAAAAAAAAAAATACAACTCCAAGACCAAAACATCACATCATTAATGACGGGATCCACTGCCACCTAATTAGTGGGAGCACTAATTAGTGCTCCCAAGCATTTTTCTTAAAAAAATTGAACAAAGTACATTTCTTCAGAATTCAGAAGATGATTTTACTTCTCACCTCCCTTATGATTTGCTTCCACTTCTCAATTTGCATTTTCAAAATTCCTTCTATCACCAACACAAGTTCCCTCCTAATCCAAACATCATATTCTAAATTCTGCCTATAAATATAAAATTACATTCATCTGTGAGTAATCATACATATCTCTGCTTGTTTTCCCGAGTTCGGATTTTGAGCAACTTAGGACGTTTGTGTTCCTTCCATTTGCCTCCCACTGATTTGCTCATGTAATGACGAACCACAAGTTAGTTAGGGCTAGGACTCACCATGGCGGATGATCATCTTCGGGTTTTTGGGGTGGAATTGGTTTCCAATCAGGTTTCTCATCCCAATACATGTCGTAATATATGTGGCCAGGAGTGTGGTTTTGCACACAACACCATATACCTACGTATCGCTTCACACGATTCCTGAACTTTTCCTCCCTTGTCTGATCACATATTTTAGGGTTTACCTTAGTATATTATTACTTGGTTAAACATGACACATTTTTACATGTAAGATAATAATACCAAATGTGGGAGAGAAAAACTCGCCTTGTCTGTGAAACCTAGGAAGGCATCTTGCATTGATGAGAATTGTATGACTTTGACATCCTTGAATGAGGAGAATACTGTTTTGAACTGTAATAACAAACAAGTAAACTCAGTGTGGTTGTAATAACTAACAAGTAAACTCATTTGGTTTTTTAATGAACGCCTACGAGGGACATACAATCCATAGTTCCAAACAACTGCAGATAGGGCAATCACCAAACAACTACTGTTCTTAATCAGAGGACCTGGACATATCATATGTAAGAATGCACAATGCAATGGCCTAAATACTTCACTTGACATTATTACTTCAAGTGAAAGATTGATGCTACTAGTCTCTCTCTTCCTAATGGATGAGGATGTGCAGACTATCAGTATTCACCGCAGTCTAGTTAATCAGCTTAAAGATTAATAAGATTTGCAAACATGATTACAGTGACAGGAGGTTTATATAGGAATCTGCATTACCGTTTCGTCATTTCCGTTCTTGGGAAATTTGAGCACTCCTGTTGGACTCGTACTGTTTGATACATTGCAATTTTGTGATCCTTCTTGACAAAGTTGTACATCAAGCCATGACTCTTTCACCTGAAAACAAACATCAACACAGAGGAATTCCCGGTTAAGTGAATGAAAACAAGCAAATATTGTCCACTCCATATGAGTTTAATTTTGATATACCTGTCGGGGTACTGATGGATTGTCAAAGAAGGAATACTCCCTCAAATTGATCCCAGGACCAAATTCATCTGCTGGCATTTCCTTCAACATGACATTCACCTGCAGTGCAGCATAGTCTTTTTAGTGAGAGAACGCTATCAGACAGACAAATAACGAAAGATTGCATGCGGCCTTTAGAGTCATCTTAGTTTTAAAGTTTTTTATTGGTAGCTTTTGTGTTACACTTCAACTTAATAACAAACTGAAGTTATAAATGAAGACATCAGCTAATTAACCATTTGTTCAATTTTCTCCAGAAAATTTGAAACATGTATTATAGGAGCGCACAAAACCAAGAGAAATTTCTATAGAAATTTACAGAAGGATTATCTGAAATGAATATATTTTTAGAATATCAAGCATAAAATGACCAACACGTAAATCATTACCACATAAAAAGCTTCCACAAAAAATAATTTAAGCAAAGGAAACAACCCATGTCAACAAACATCGCAAATTATCTTTGCCTAAGGGGACAAAAAATCACATTTGTAACAATTAGTTGTTTTTGTGGGTGCTGAGCACGGTTACAGTAATCAGAAAGAGCAGTACCTCAAACACATGATCCAAAGGGCAGAGAAAAGGCTGTCTTGTCATAGTCCCAATCAGAACTCCGGGATGTGGAAACCATAATCTATCCAACCTGCACCATAGTGGAGGCATAACCTAAAAGCACGAATAAAGGACAGAGAGATCAATATTTGTCCTATGAAACTACTCAACATCAGAAAGAAGGTAAATCAGCATGACCCTGTTTTGTGGCTATCTAGCAAAATGAATGCAGTTGGTATTCATACATTGAATTCCACATATAAATACGCATTGTTGAAGCCATAGCTGTTATTATGAAGTTGAATAGTTGTATGTAAGTAATTACCATAGTGCATGGCAAGGTGTAATGGAAAATGACCAGGCTACACGCATGAAATGCGGCTTTGAATTTGAAGGCAGCCACTTGGAATAAGGAGTTGAAATTTAGGTTTCTACCCCTCCCAAAACCCCAGTTTGATGGGATGAACACTTGGTAGCCTTTTAGATGGCGACTACACCTAGGATGGCTTACACTTTGTTTTGGTTCCTTAAAGAAGAAAAGCATTTCAAAGTGCAGAGTGTTTTCAATTCAAACTTTAAACTGTATGTGATTCTAAGCAATGCAAACTATCTTATTGCAACCATGTGTACCTGTATGACTTTGAGTTAATTGAATTTCATCATCAAGGAGATGAAGACATTGGAATATTTTAATTTGAACCTAAGTATCAAAAAGTCTGTTGGAATTTGTGCTGTAGAACAGCACAAGGAATCAATAATTATAGAGGAAGATGCATGATAAAGTAATGAACAATGATGTTTTATAGTAGTAAATAGTCAAATTTAGCATTATAAGGAAGTAAAAAAATTTGGGCTAAAGATGAGACTCTTATACTAGAAACTGATGTAAGTTGTTCAAATGGTAATGATAATTCCCCGTATAATGACAACAGAGAGAGAGAAAGTAAGCAATTTTTTATGGTAATCCAAATGATGCAATAATATTATCCATTTTTTATGAGAAGTACATCCACCGTGTTTGGACCTACCAAGAACCAGGTTTTATCTACAAATCCCCAGGTAAAAAGTGTAACAAATTTATTTTCACAGGTGTAGCATGTGAACATGCAAATATATTAAAGATGAAAGTAATAATCATGGTGCTAATGATAATGGAAAACAAAATTTAACAGGCACTTTTCATCTTTGCTCCCTTAACAGAGTAGAGATCTCCCCTGGCTAAAACTACATCAACATCTAAGATGTCAAAGATCAGAATAATTCTTACCAGTGTACGATTCAACAAAGAAGCAATAGAAAGAGCTGTCCTTATTTGCTTCATCTGAGAGAACCATTCAAAACAGAATCAATAAATTGCAATAAAGTATTATCAAAATTGTAATAGAGGCACGTAGGATTAGGTTAATACTTGCATACTTGGTAATTAATGAGAGAAAAATGTGATTCAATAGTATGCTCCCCGTCTAGTAACAAACTCTTTGGAATAGATGGCTTAAAGGTCAAGAAACCTCCTGCATAAAATTCTCAACAAAATTAAATTACAGCAATATTCTTGCAGCCCTAGGGGAATGTTATCAAAGAGCCAAAGCTCATGTAGGTTACTTTTACTCTGTTGCATCATCCATGATTATCCAATTAGTTAAGCGAAGAAATTCTACAAGAGAGAAGAAGGTACAATTTACATGGTACTAAATTACCAATTGCAGAAGCACCAAGAAACATTCAAAAAATGGGCAAGCTGGATGAAGATAATGAGTAGCAAGAGAATATAAAATTAAAAATAAATATCATGTGAGAAAGTCCACAGACAATTTATGTTACGAGCATCAAGACCCATCAGGCCATCACTGGAATTTTAAGTACATACCTTTGAAGATGCTACAAAAACAAGGGGAAAGCCTGAATGTAAGATGCTCGAGTTATTAACAAATAGAAGGTGGGTGCATGATTTAATAAAAGAGATGCCCCTAGATATAGTAAAATGGAAAATATTTCTCTGCGTCCAGCCCCAAATATTGGGAAAGTGTCAAGTTGAGTTCCATATATGCTGGCCATTTTCCCTTATATATTGATGATTGTCATAAAGTAAGATTAATGGTATTTTAACATTATTATTAACTCATGCACACAAGCAGGTGCATGAGCTTCAATGCTAAGTCTAGATAATCTGGGTTAAATAGCTTGTCATATAGAACTGTGGAGGAGAGTAAAAACCAGACCAGGATTTTAACCTGATTTGAATTAGGGGCAAGAAAGGTACCAATTATGGTTTTAGTTACTGAAAGGACGTACAGCATTAATGAAAAAGGCTATACAAGAATGAATCTCATAAAGAAGAAACATGTCAGATTTTGGAAGCATAAATCAAAAGGAACCAAGTTAATGTGAAAAATAAAGGCACAATTTGCACAAAAGAAGATAGGATGGATTAAGGTAACTTTCTTTCTTTTGAAAAGTCAAGTCAATTTTATTTAGTGCCAAGTAGCCACTACCCACACGTACAAAAAGAAACAAAACCAACATCCCTTCACATCAAATCAGAATTCTGTAGCATCCAAAAAATCCAAAAAGAAGTCCAAAGCAAGGTTAAAATACTTCCACCACTATTCTCAGGAACACCAAAGACACCCCAAACATAGTCAACACCATAATCTACCCCTCACCAGCCACCATACAATGGATAAGTAATCCACTGACTTCCCTGCCTTCAACACCCATTTCGAAGGACTTTTCTCCTTTTATATTTCCCCAAGTTGTCTTCCACCTTCCAAATGTCTTTTAATGTATAAGTCTCTTCCCAAGGGCTTACTAATTTGAAGTATGATTTAACCTCAAATTTTCCAAACTTTGAGGCCCTTATCCAGATTTTGTCCTCCCGCATCCTCAATAAACCACCCTATACAAGGTCTTCATAAACTCCACCATATCAATCTCCCAAACATGTAAATCCCAATGGACTGTGTACTGACAATCAGCCATCACGATTATTTTATCAGCATCAAACCCCTAAGAAAGAAGAAAATAAATGCTAAAATGCCAGGCCAAACAATATCTTATCATATGCAGGCCCTATAGATGAGCCATATTACTCTTACAATGCCTTGCAAATTATAAAGGCTACAGGGCAGGCAATTTTTGGGAATAAAATGCCAAATGCAAAAATGTATATATCATGAAAAAATACCTGGTGAATCATAAAATTCCGGTGGGTCATAAAAAATCATGGCTTCACGTAGTCGGTGACGCTTTCCTTCAGTACCTGCATATTGGAATGTAGTATGTACAGCATATGGCTCCAATCTGAGTTGTTGATACATTGCCTACAAGCACAAAGAAATGCTCAGCATACCTTTTACGATCAAGCAAATTGAGGTAATGAACCGTTACTCTGGAAATCCACAATGAGATTAAAAAAAAACAACGAAGATGAGACCAGGCCAATATCTCAAAGAACTGTCCTATTGGTCCTACCTGGACAAAATAAGTATGCCCGCTGCAAAATATACTTGCTGGCAGGACCCCCAGCTTGAGCTTTCCATCATAAGCATATGCAAGTTCACTGTCCTCATCAACAGATGGCCCCAACTGCCTGCGTACTAGTTCGTTAAAACCATTTTGGTCCCATATCTTATCATCAGCTAGAAGCATATCCTTCCATTCATTTGCCAATTTTTTTGTAGCATCTGAAGGCCGCCAGTGGAAAATTCCTATATTATATGCAGCGCCAACTGTCCAAGGTGAAAGAAGAATTTTATTATTAAACTGGTCTCTGAAAAGTAAGCATATAAGTATGACAAAAGTCAGATTTCACTAACTGCAAATTGCCTATTTTATCATAGCAATGATTTGAACACGTACATCAACTGGAAAATTAACTCACAGTTTACTAAAATCCTAAGGAATGCATAGAGTTCCAATACGCAGATTAAGCTACACCAGTAATGGTATGAACAGATCATGCTTGAGAAGATACAAGGTCTACCTGGACCCAGCATTTCCACCCAGTTCTCCATCTCAACAGGTTTGGATCCATGCATGGAATCACGAATCCCTGACAAATAACATCAGGTTTTCTATTTCCATTTGAATCTCAAATTTGGCCTTTTACATAGAGAAGCACACACTCCATCATTGCAGTTCCAAACCAGGTATAAATTTATAATTCCAATTTAGTACAACTGAATGAATACATCACCAACCAATTATTGATCAGATCCAAAATCCTATTGCCATCCTTTGGGCCAGATCAACTCAAGCTTCACCTAAAGTACAAGGGCCAAAACCCATTATTAACCTGAGATCTGTCTGGCCAGGCTTACCCTCCTCTATGGAATGAACTCCAAAGGAATTTAGGCAAGACTAATCAAACTCTCAACTGCAATTGATTATTTTTATGATACTAATATATTACTTCTAGAAAGGAAAACTCTGGTCAAGACCTTCAGTCGGAAACGAAAGCACTTGCATGCATACAAAAACTTCTATGGTTAAGACAGTTCAGAAAATATAGCAGTATTTATAACATACAGTGAAAGTAAAAGCATTGATTCTAGGTATTAAGAAACATTTTTTTCAGCAAAAACGTCACTTCAAACTTCACTTTTTGGGCAGCGATCATTTTCCAAAAAGTTAGTCAAGGACTGATTGTATTTCTTCTTCTTAAACACTGAAGATAAGTCAATTTACAAGTGATAGTCATTAACAAACCAGCAGCTGAGTGAAACTTGAGAAGATACAGAAGAATTTCTAATGAGGAGCTGTAAATATTAGTTGGTGAATTAGGACGTAAGGAGCAGAATTTCAGTCGTTAGAAGCTTACCCCTCAACAAAGCTTTTCGGGAAATTGACTTTGCAGATATACTTAAACGAGTAATCATTGTAGAAGGGTAGTGGAGGGGAGCTATAGGATTGAGCGGGGAGATTGGATGTCGAGTGAGGTTCACTTCACTCCTCTTATGCAGTGGGGTAATGGAAGAGCATCAGGAAGGGCTGACATTAGTTCTCTGACCGTATCAGTCATGATCAGAAATGGCCAAGAAGTTTAATTTTGGCATGACCATTCGAGTGCGAAGGAACTTTATTTTTTTTGATCGGCAACAAAACAAAATTTTATTAAAGAAGAAATGTAGTACAATAGAGGACAAGATGTCCACAAAATAAAACAAGGACAATTCAATGCAAAAGAAAACAAGGAACTAAACATCGCACACTGACACCCAATCCCTAGAGATCATAAAGAGTAGAATCCGTTTAAAGGGGAAGCCACTGAAATCCAAAAAGATATCAAAACACGGACTTTATCCCATATGAAAAATCTAGAAATCGCCTAGATATTGATTTGTGATTATGTATCAATTTTAAAGAGTAAATAGCAATCGCAATCAAACAATCAAAGACAAATCAACACAACGATTTAATGTGAAAAAACCACAATTAGAGCGCCTCCAATTGTAATAAAAAACCACGGGCAAAAATCACAAAACAATCCACTAAGAAAACTTAAAGAAATTACACGAGTGTACTCTCAATTACTTAGCGAATCTATACCCGAATTGAACTGACCCCTATATGCCTCTTTTAACCCCGTCTTCACCTCGGAATTGTCTTACCCAACGTTGAATCCACAACGCCAATGTCAAATCACGACAATGAGCCACTCCGGAATCCACCAAAACTTCAAGCCCGAATTCCACGGAATCCACCGAAGAACAAGACTCTTTTGTATTGAACGAAACAAGCAATCCTTTTATGTATACTTTTCAAACTAGATTTAAACTCAAACAAACATAAAAAAAAAAAAAAAAACTAGCAAAGAAGCTCCATATATAAACCCTAATATCCAAAAAGAAGATCTGGAAGTCGTAACCCTAAAAACGGATGAAACCACATATTTATAGAAAACTGATCCGCGATCTCTGCTCGAGCGGACCTCGCTTGAGGTTAAAATCCCAACTTCTAGTACTTTTACAGACAGGTCAAACTTCTGGAACTAAACGGTCTTCGCTCGAGCGCACAAATGGCAGCTCGAGCGGACAAGCAACTTCGAATGCATTTTTGCATTTTGCTTCGGGGGCACTGCCCCTCGACCCTGCCTGGGTGCTGCCCCAGACCTGCCAAGGGGCGCTGCTCGCTGGACCCCTGCGAGCTGACCGGGCAGTTTGATCCCTAACATAGTCAGGGAAGTGACAAACAGAAAAAATAAACTTCCAAAACATCTCTGCAAGACACAATTCGGGTTGGATTCATATCTAAAACTTATAGCCTCACTGAAATAAAAAATCGAATACAATTACAACTGAAAGAAATTTTGTCAAACGGGATTGCCAAGAATAAAAACCTCACACCATAAGTGATCCAAATCCCCATATTTGTCTTCAAAGATACTTGCATTTCTTTGAAACTAAAGCCTCGGGTGTCATTCAGGATGGCAGCTGATAAGGAGGCATGAGAAGCAGATAATGTCAGGATGAATGAAGGGGAGTAGTTTTAGATTCCTAGTTTCAGGAGGTATGCAAGGCCAAAGCAAGCTTAAAAGCCCTTTGAAGTTGGAATGCCAATCAAACATTGAAAAATTTTCAGTTCAGCGTCAGTGGTTGGAGAAAGTGCATACATCATAATCTTCCTGGAGATTTACTAAATGTAGGTCATGAAGACTAAAAGAACATTACATGATTATAAAATAACAAGTATCAACTAGTAACTACTATTAAAAAAGAAAAAAAATGCTTAAATAAAAAAAATGGAAACAAAATTAAAAACGTGTATTCATATAATCATTACCTTCTTTCCATATGTCCAACCTGTCATCAGCAACTGTTGGCGAAACTTGATCACTTGAAGTCAACACATCTGCTTCTGGAAAACGAGCAAGATATGGAAGGGGGTTCTGCTCCAGCAAGATAGCAGATGGTGCAAAGAATGTACCAACAGGGGGGGAAAAAAAGGAACAAATTTGTTAAGGTATTTATAAAGTAAAGGAATTATGTCATCTCATTAAGATAATTTTACAGCTCCCAGAGGATAAGTTAGAGAAATATAATCAACAATGTTAGGAGTGAAAAAAAGGGAGGGGAGTAGGTGCATGGGCATATGGTAATAGAAGTTCAAAAAGATTAGGGAGTAGGTCTTTTTTATGAAACAGGAAACAAACTTTTCCACCTGATTATCCACAAGATTTTGCTAATAATTGCAGAAAGGAAGCGTAACCAATGTACTTTCTTTCACATTTACCCAAACAGACCGTCTAAATAACAAATGTGGGTACCAGGAAAGCAACAGGATATCAAATGGTTGTAAAGCCCCGAGGAAACGAACTCAAGGAAGAGTAGTTCCTATACATTAATAGAGTTCAAAAAGCTTGCTTTTTTTTTTTTCAAAATTTTTCCTCTAGTGTTTCCAAGAGAGAAATAATAAAAAATTCATGACTGCACAGAATTCATTACATAAAGAAAGCTAGCAACCATAACCAAGAAAACAAGCATAAAAGGTACCTTTAACCAGACCATGTCTGTATCACACATCAGTAGTTCAAAGCCAAATGGTAGGATTGTATCTATTAGAACAACCTTTTCTCTCCCCATTTTGTGAAATGTTGCTGAGCCCCATCCAACATCTGTAGTGCTCATATGGCTACCCATGTCAAAAACTGGAATGCCTTTCCAGTACAAAGCCTCTAACAGTTTTGTGTCCATTGCACCTATGAGAACATATAAATTTTCTTAGAGAGATATGTTTGTTTAGGTAAAAAATTCAGAACTTTAAGTTTAAGCTCCAAAGGCATCCATGGCTCATATTACGGGAACTTACCAACAAGGATATTGTCTAAACCCAAATCTGTAAGGTGTTTAACCCATGTCAAGATAAAATCCATGAAGGCATAATTGCCAAAGGTCATTATGATAATGTTATCTTTCACCCTTTTCTGAACCAAGCCTTTTGTCAACCGGAATGTTTTCAAAGGTGGCATTTTTGAACCAGAAGGGGGAACCTCCCAAATTGGTTTCCTCAACTTGTTTTGTGACTGTGGTGCCGGTGACAGTACTACACCCACTGTTGTTAGTTGAGAAGAGTTAGGTAGTTGATCCCGGGGGGGAGATTCGACATCTAAAATATGACAAACATATAAATTAGTAAAAGAAAAAATAATTGGAGAATTAAAAGGCAACAAGAGAGGAAAAGCAAAGAGTAAGTTTAATGTAACAAGGAAGAACATAATCAAAATTGTTGCAAAAATTGAATGAAATTCCAGGAAAAAAAACATTATTTATTATGTGTTGGAACAAAAGAACTATCCCATGTGCGAAATGTATGCTTGGTATCTAGCTTGACCAGACCAGACTACTGAAAAGGTAAAAAGTGCAGACAACTGCAACAACACTTGCTAAAAACTAATTTCAGTCCACTTGGTCCAAAGTATAGTTGAACATATAAAGGTTTTTTTTCCACCCCCCATTTAAAAGAACTATAGAGTTGGTCCAAATCCATCTTTTTGTTCAGTTATATATAAAGATTGAGCATGTATATGCAATTAAATTTCCCTTTCCCTTGACAACCAAGATCCAAAGACAGCTAAGGGTCCGTTGGGAGAATAACTCAAATTCAGATTTGATAGTTCACCTATGAATTTCAAAATTGAATAAAATGATTTTATCATGATAAGTAGTTGTTTCAAATCATGTTAAAAATTTTCTTCCATCTACAAGGATCCAACTAAAATACATTTATTTAATTTCAACAATATTCTAACTTTAAATCTCTTAATTCAAAATCCACATCCATCCAAACAGACCCTAAGTGTGATTCTCCACATCTCTTTTGGTGCCAGTAATCTGAACAGTAAGTGCTCTACACTTCAATTTCCCTCCCAAACACATGCAAATTGACAACAAACCAACCTCATCAATTCATTTCCATACACTAATACAATATTCTAAGTTCAACCCACTTACTAGACTCAGCTCACTAATCTCAAAATCGTTCAAATCGAAATATTTGTAAACTCACATTGCAAAATGAAGTGATGAAATTCAAATAAACACATAATCAAATTAGAAGAGAGAGAGAGAGAGAGAGAGAGGGAGAGAGAGTACGGGAGGAAACTTGAGGGAACCAGGAGGGGGAGGAGGAGGAGGAGTAGACGGCGGAGAAGACATAGAAGGAAGAGAATAGGATTCCGATGATGACGGTGGCGTAGATCGTCAAGAACAATGGCTTCGAATTCGCTATCTCTTGGAATTGGTTCCTCCAACCCATTCTTTGAATTGCTGGTTCTGATGATGATACTCACGCAATTGTATCTACGAACAACAACACAGCATTGCTCAACACCAATCTACATATACATATATGTGGATTGAGATGAGAAATTGAGAGATTGTATAGAAGGGTTTTAGTTTTGGGATGTGGTGGAATGAGAAGCAAATCGGAGTGAAGAGGAGTGCGTGGCCAGGCAGGGAAAGTCGTCGCTCACATGGCTGTCTGAATCTGTCAAAGTTGGCATAAGTTTGGACCGCTCTTAATTTATTGTTTTTATTAATTAATTGGATTATTAATCACTCATTCACCAAAAAAAAATAAATTATTAATCACTCATTCACCCAAAATAAATAAATAATTTTATTTGGAAATAAGTTAATTAATAATTTTTTTAACTTTTTATGAAAAAAATATATAAAAAGTGAGATAAAAAAATAAATATGCTATTTTAAGTTGTTCCCAAAAAACCCTTATTTTCCCACTACATTTTAATGAGAATTTTAATTTTATTATTATTATTTTGTCTGCCTATTTTTCCATAATTTTAAAGAAAATGCTCAAAATCTTAAAATATGAAACGGTCCACCCTCGTTTCACCTTGATAATTTAAGGGTTCATTTTTGTAAAACTCATTAAATAAATTAAATATTAGCAATTATACAATTGGATTACATTTTTTTATTACAAAAATGAATGGCATGTATCATTTCTAACATTGAGCGTTCATTTTTAGAAGATAATGTGATCAAATCATTAGATTATTGATATCAGATTAATTTAATTTTTTTTTTTGTATAAATATTTAATCAATTAATCTTATAAAATGAACTATTTGAATTACAAAAATTCACCTCAAATAATAGATAACCTGCACGATTAAAATATTACCCTTTAAATGGATTATTAGTTACTGGACAATTTCTCGGCACTAATTGTACTATTTACACCTTTCTTTTAACTTAGAATTAATTATATAAGAATTTTATTTATAAATATTATGGTAGTTCAGGTCTTATTTAAGATTTTTTAAATCAATAAGTCATATATTTAGTAAAAATGATAATATTATCATTTTTTTCTAATTTTTAAAATTAAAAACATTATCAATTTTGCATAGTAATGTTATAGATATTTATTTCACTAATTGATAAAAAAAAAAAAAAGAGTATGAGATTAAACTTTTTTGCTTTTCTACATATTGGTTTGATTCAACTATATAATAAAACGATAACATTATCAGTTTTTTTTCAAATTTTAAAACTGAGAACAGTATCAGTTTTTTCATTTATAAAGTTTTTTTTTTTTTGTTTTTAAGTTTTGCACATTAATATTCTATCATCATACTCCTTTATAGACACAAAATTTTTAATTTTGTACAAAAAAATAATTCAATGTATTTTTTTAGATTTGCACACATAATTTTTTCTTTTTAGTTTTTTTCAATTTGAAAGTTTATATTTTTAAGTTTTTAAAATTAAAATAAATATCAAATCATCATATTCCTTTATAGATAATCATAAATGATGAACAATCATTATTTGAAAGACAATTCCAACTATTAAAAATTTAATGGGACTTGAATGTCTAAAAAATCATAGTTAAGACTTAATAGAGTATAAGTTCATAAATTAAGACTTGTGTGTAAATACTCCTTTAACTTATTATACTCATTTTCCCTTACATTTAATGAAAAATTATTTTTTTAATCTCTTTCTATATTTTCATAGTCCGAAAGGAAAATGTTTAAAATACCCTTTAAATTTATTCCTCTAGCTTCATGCCTGGCATAAAAATTAAAAATTATTCCCATGATGTGGATTATATATTATTATTCTTTTTTATTAATTTGCTTATAAATCAATCAATCAAGACTCTCAACTATAGTTACGTAAGTGTAAATAAATTTAATTTTTCTTGTTAAAGAATCTCTAATATTACTAAAATTTTAAATATATTTTTATCTCTATCTTCATCCATTCTCTCTACACCCTCTTTCTCTATGTTTTTCTCTCTTGTGTCTCTTCTTCTCCCACATGAGAGGAAGTCATAGAATAAATAATTTAAAATTTTGAAAGAGAATGATGGTGAGTGAAAGGTTTAGAATTTATGAGGAAAAGAGATGGGGAGAAGAGAGGAATTGAGGGATGAGTTTGTCGAGGTGAGAAAGTGATGGTTTTGGGTGATGGTGTGGAAGATGACTTTTTTCAAAAAATATAATTAAAATTGTTTGTGTTTGAATTTTATTTGCCAATCAAGGTTGAATATACTTGATTTGTTCGCTATTTTTCGATCAAACAAACTAAGGGTTGTTTTGAAATTTGTTTATTTTTTTATTTTTTTTAATTTAGTGAATTTTTTTTAAAAAAAATTCAAAAAAAAATTAGATTTCTAAATTCAACTCGACAAAATGAATCAGAAAATTATAATTTAAAAAAAAAAAATCTAGAAAAGTCAAAAATAAAAAATATTTTTTGACTTATTTTGGCTTTTTCAATTTTTGTTTGCAATTTTTCAAAAAAAAAAACTTTTAAATTCATCTCGACAAGACGGATCGAAAAAATAAAAAAAATTAACATAATACTAAAAACAAAAAATAAAAAAAAATGGGAAAAAGATGTGGTTTGTTTTGGATTGCCATGCTTAGCTTTAATTGTTTAAATAATCTTAAAATCTTCAATAAATGGATTCTTCCCATGTATTTTATTTTTATTTTTATTTTTTATATATGAAAAGAAACTGCCTAACTTGTCATAAGTCAAATAAGAAAATAAAGGAACTCATTTAAGACAACAATAAAAAGGGTGCTTAACTTTAGCTTTTCTGTATCTCTTGAGTCGGGGTGAAGTTTTAACTAAAATTTTTAATGTGGTTTGGTTTGGGTTCCTTGACTCTTTTTTTTTTTTTTTTGCACTTATAATTATTTCAAGCATTTCAACTCTGTGTTTTCAAATAACATAAATCCATATCAAAATCATATAAAATTGCTCACAAATAACTTTTTAACACTTACATAACTCGTGGGAGAGAGGATCTAGCTGAGGGTGTAACATGTCCGTTAATAGGTTATTCATTGTATGAATTGTAATTGGATAACATTGTCACACTCAATTATTTATGCAAGTTAGAACGAATTGATAAGGGGTATTTAACTTAAGTTTGTTTATAAGAAAAAATTATTAGGTGTTTAAGAGGCGTCATGAATAACTATATATTACCAGCCAATCACTACCAATCATAATTTCACTGGACAGATAACCTCTCATGAATGGGTGCTTGTAAAAGTCAAAAGCAAACCAATGAGTCCAACGATTGATCCCTATGCACTCGTATGAGTTCATCCACTATACCAACAACCATAATTTTACTAGACTCTAGCGCACATCTTATGGGTGTATTAAGAAAATAGAGGGTCTAGATTTTCTCCTGTGGATTGGACGGTGTTACTTAGGCTTTTCAGACCCATCACGGGTCTAATTTTGTTAATTTGAACCGTTCAATGTGTTAGATTCATCGAGTACTTCATTTTTGAAAAAAATTACGTTCATCGGATATCGATAGCCACTTGATTAGAATATATTTTTGTCCACAATTTATTTTTAAAATCATATTAACCATTGACAAAAATATTATATAATTAAGTGATTATCGATATCCGATCAACATATTTTTTTGCTGGAATAAAGTAATCAAAGAGCTCTACACATTGAACAATTCAGATCATCAAAATTAGACTTGCAATGAGCCTCATGGACCCAATAATACACTCCATTCCAATTTCGGATCGGAGATAAGCCGATCTGAAAATAAATTAGTGAAATATAAAAGAGAAAAAAATATAAAAAGTTATCAAAATTTAAAATCAAAATTTGAGTAGCTAGTAATTATGAGAATATGAGTGAATTTTTAGAAAATTATGAAGGGTATCTTGGCACTACCCAAAAGCAAAGGCCTAAAGAAAATTTTTAAAAATAATAATAATAATAATACACATCACATTTTATAGCCAATAAAAAAAGAGTTTATTCATGTATGGGTTTGGATTAGATTATTTTAATACACAACATGTTGTAGTTGTTTAAACCTGCACAAGTCTGTCTGTATAGCATCTCTAAATAGAGTCATGCAAGATGATGGAGACTTAGGCCCTGTTTGTTTCACTGATATAAAATGGAAGATATAATATGATATGAGATTTAGTTTGGACATATAATGAATAGGATATAGGTATTCGATAATATATCTCCCAATTCATGTTTGTTGACTTATATATTATCCATTTTTGTTTTACAAAATATATTGTGGGATATAAATAAGTAATTTTCAAGATTGTCCTCATAATATTATATTATATTATATTCAAAATTTATATTAAATTCAAAATTTTATATTAAATTATATTATATTATATTAAATTCAAAATTTGTATTAAATTATATTATATTAAATTATATTATATTATATTATATTATATTATTAAATTATATAGATTCTATCAACCGAGTATGGCCGACCCCAAGATTCCACGGGTCACCAAAGGGTAGTGGTCCCAACCACATGCCCAGTTGCAACCCCAAGGCCCCATCTCAACCATAGTGGATCCCACCCTTATAACCATTTGATTATTACAAAACCCTCCGATTTTAAAAAAAAAAAATACTTCTTCTATCTTAAAATATTAATTTTTTTAGAAAGTTTAACTTTTTTTAATAATATAATTATTATATTTCAAAAATATTAATTTTTTAAAACTACTCTTTGATTTTTTGAAAACATCAATTATCAAATTATACTTTTTATATATGAATTTAAAAGAGGAGTAAAATAAAAAATTTATATTATTTTTGTCTTTAATTTTTAAAAATAGACTAATATTTTGAAAAAATTAAAATTAAAATAATAGACTAATATTTTAAGACGGAATGAGTAAATTGATAAACAATTTGATAACTTAATGAGTTTAAAATTATATTCAAGTTTAAATTATTTATATAACGAGTCGAGTCCGAATGAGTTGAATTTGAATTGTTTGATTATAAATAAACTTATCGAGCCAGATAGTAATTGAAACTTAGGTTCCGTTTGTTTTAACGTAATGTATTTTACACAACAAATATTTTTTTTGTAAATTTATTTTACACAGAAAATTTTATGCTTTTATTTTTCGGCATTTGATTGATATTTGAAACAATAATATTTTATTACTTAAAAAAGAAATTTTAGCTAAGATATGTATTTGAAAATA